TTTTGGGCAGGCCTTAAAACCCCCAAAACCCTCGCAGCAGCTTTCGAAGGCCTCAGCACCGCACAACCCTCCGCAGCAGCTCTCGAAGCGTCCTGCTGGCTTTGCCATGGTGCCTCCCTATTGGCCCCAAAAGCTGTTTCTATTGGGCTTCGAAACTGCCGCGTGGCACGTTTTGGGCAGGCCTTAAAACCCCCAAAACCCTCGCAGCAGCTTTCGAAGGCCTCAGCACCGCACAACCCTCCGCAGCAGCTCTCGAAGCGTCCTGCTGGCTTTGCCATGGTGCCTCCCTATTGGCCCCAAAAGCTGTTTCTATTGGGCTTCGAAACTGCCGCGTGGCACGTTTTGGGCAGGCCTTAAAACCCCCAAAACCCTCGCAGCAGCTTTCGCAGGCCTCAGCACCGCACAACCCTCCGCAGCAGCTCTCGAAGCGTCCTGCTGGCTTTGCCATGGTGCCTCCCTATTGGCCCCAAAAGCTGTTTCTATTGGGCTTCGAAACTGCCGCGAAACTGCCGCGAGGCACGTTTTGGGCAGGCCTTAAAACCCCCAAAACCCTCGCAGCAGCTTTCGAAGGCCTCAGCACCGCACAACCCTCCGCAGCAGCTCTCGAAGCGTCCCGCTGGCTTTGCCATGGTGCCTCCCTATTGGCCCCAAAAGCTGTTTCTATTGGGCTTCGAAACTGCCGCGTGGCACGTTTTGGGCAGGCCTTAAAACCCCCAAAACCCTCGCAGCAGCTTTCGAAGGCCTCAGCACCGCACAACCCTCCGCAGCAGCTCTCAATGCGTCCTGCTGGCTTTGCCATGGTGCCTCCCTATTAGCCCCAAAAGCTGTTTCTATTGGGCTTCGAAACTGCCGCCTGGCACGTTTTGGGCAGGCCTTAAAACCCTCAAAACCCTCGCAGCAGCTTTCGAAGGCCTCAGCACCGCACAACCCTCCGCAGCAGCTCTCGAAGCGTCCTGCTGGCTTTGCCATGGTGCCTCCCCATTGGCCCCACGAGCTCTTTCTATTGGGCTTCGAAACTGCCGCGTGGCACGTTTTGGGCAGGCCTTAAAACCCTCAAAACCCTCGCAGCAGCTTTCGAAGGCCTCAGCACCGCACAACCCTCCGCAGCAGCTCTCGAAGCGTCCTGCTTGCTTTGCCATGGTGCCTCCCTATTGGCCCCAAAAGCTGTTTCTATTGGGCTTCGAAACTGCCGCGTGGCACGTTTTGGGCAGGCCTTAAAACCCCCAAAACCCTCGCAGCAGCTTTCGAAGGCCTCAGCACCGCACAACCGTCCGTAGCAGCTCTCAAAGCGTCCTGCTGGCTTTGCCATGGTGCCTCCCTATTGGCCCCACAAGTTGTTTCTATTGGGCTTCGAAACTGCCACGTGGCACGTTTTGGGCAGGCCTTAAAAGCCTCAAAACCCTCGCAGCAGCTTTCGCAGGCCTTAGAACCGCACAACCCTCTGCAGCAGCTTTCGAAGCGTCCCGCTTGCTTTGCCATGGTGCCTCCCTATTGGCCCCAAAAGCTGTTTCTATTGGGCTCTGAAACTGCTGCGTGGCACGTTTTGGGCAGGCCTTAAAACCTTCAAAACCCTCGCAGCAGCTTTTGAAGGCCTCAGCACCGCACAACCCTCCGCAGCAGCTCTCGAAGCGTCCTGCTGGCTTTGCCACATGGTGCCTCCCTATTGGCCCCACAAGCTGTTTCTATTGGGCTCCGAAACTGCCGCGTGGACGTTTTGGGCAGGCCTTAAAACCCTTCAAAACCCTCGCAGCAGCTTTCGAAGGCCTCAGCACCGCACAACCCTCCGCAGCAGCTCTCGAAGCGTCCTGCTGGCTTTGCCATGGTGCCTCCCTATTGGCCCCACAAGCTGTTTCTATTGGGCTTCGAAACTGCCACGTGGCACGTTTTGGGCCAGCCTTGAAAGCTTCAAAACTCTCGCAGCAGCTTTCGAAGGCCTCAGCACCGCACAACCCTCCGCAGCAGCTTTCGAAGCGTCCCGCTTGCTTTGCCATGGTGCCTCCCTATTGGCCCCAAGAACTGTTTGCATTGGGCTTCGAAACTGCCGCGTGGCACGTTTTGGGCAGGCCTTAAAACCTTCAAAACCCTCGCAGCAGCTTTCGAAGGCCTCAGCACCGCACAACCGTCCGTAGCAGCTCTCAAAGCGTCCTGCTTGCTTTGCCATGGTGCCTCCCTATAGGCCCCACAAGCCTCCCTATTGACCCCACCAGCTGTTTCTATTGGGCTTCGAAACTGCCACGTGGCATTTGGGCAGGCCTTAAAACCGTCAAAACCCTCGCAGCAGCTTTCGAAGGCCTTCGAACCGCACAACCCTCCGCAGCAGCTTTCGAAGCGTCCCGCTTGCTTTGCCATGGTGCCTCCCTATTGGCCCCAAAAGCTGTTTCTATTGGGCTTCGAAACTGCCGCCTGGCACGTTTTGGGCAGGCCTTAAAACCCTCAAAACCCTCGCAGCAGCTTTCGAAGGCCTCAGCACCGCACAACCCTCCGCAGCAGCTCTCGAAGCGTCCTGCTGGCTTTGCCATGGTGCCTCCCTATTGGCCCCACAAGCTGTTTCTATTGGGCTTCGAAACTGCCACGTGGCACGTTTTGGGCCAGCCTTAAAAGCTTCAAAACCCTCGCAGCAGCTTTCGCAGGCCTTCGAACCGCACAACCCTCCGCAGCAGCTCTCGAAGCGTCCCGCTTGCTTTGCCATGGTGCCTCCATATAGGCCTTTAGAAGCCTCCCTATTGACCCCACCAGCTGTTTCTATTGGGCTTCGAAACTGCCACGTGGCACGTTTTGGGGCAGGCCTTAAAACTTTCAAAAGCTTTTCGCAGCAGCTTTCGAAGGCCTTAGAACCGGACACAACCCTCCGCAGCAGCACCCTCGACAAGCTGTGTCTATTGGACTTCGAAACTGCCACGTGGCACGTTTTGGGCTGGCCTTAAAACTTTCCAAAGCCTCGCAGCAGCTTTCGAAGGCCTTAGAAGCTCACAACCCTCCGCAGCAGCTTTCGAGGGTTGCCCCCTTGCTTTGCCATGGTACCTCCCTAGGCCCTACAAGCTGTTTCTATTCAGTTGGATCTTTACGTCGGTATCCAACTTTTCTGCTTGCACGGCCGTCCACACGGTGCGTTATGTTTGCTTTGGATTCGCCCGGATCCACGCGCAGACCAAACAAGCGTCTGGCACAGTGGGCACCTGTGCGCATGCTGCTTCGCCGGCTCTTCCATGGGTCATGCTCAGGATTTACCAGCCCTCTGCAAGGGAACAAGGTGATGATACGTATAGGTGGTTGCTCTGGTGAGTTAGATCCTGGTGAAAATCATGGACAAAAATGACAAATATGGAAACATGTAGGATAACATCGGATAACATCGGATAACCATGGCCCTCCAAATGGGGGTCGGCGGCACCAGGGCGTTAGCCCATTTATTAATATATTGTCGCCGACTCGTGTTTTCATCCTCACTTCACCATCCAGCGTTGCATCGGCGACATGTAGCCTTGAGATTCTTGCTGGCAGCATGGCATCTTTGGGGCTTGGCTCAGGCAGAGCCTGCGGAAACCCGAATGAATCTCATTCAAACACGTTTCCCAAGCCAAAATGCCTCACATATCCTCACATCAGATGTCACATGTGGCAAGCCCTATCACCTTTCCTGGGGCTTTCTACAGGCTCTTACAGACATGTACCAAAGTCCACTGCTAAACACTGTGCCTTTACAGCAAGGACTGGCCTTCAACACCACAGGGGAGTCAACTGCAAAGATCTTCACGGTGTTGCCAATGTAGGCATCCTGGAAGGTCACGGCGGTCACAATCTGAAAGAACCACTCAGACTGATAGCTAGCATCATATATGAACACAGAACACTGTGTCCAGGACAGCCACGATAATCACACAACGACCGACAACAACTAACAACCAATCACTGCTCGACAAAAAGTGCAAAAGATTCACCTGCTCATTATATGAACCAATCACCAAACTTAATCTAGTCACTCACTCTCAAAGCAGCAGACAGGCCTGGCCATGCAGGGCAAAGGTTTTAAGAAGACCTTCTGCAGTGTCCTTTGGTTGGTAAGGATTCTGCAGATTCCCATAAAATGGGTCGGCTCACAATACCCAATAAACCAGCTATCTCAAAACATCTTATAACATGGTGATATTGGTTATAACATGTTATAGAACCCTTGGGTTAGATTGAAAAGTACAATCTACTAGGGTCCTCAGGTCACTGCTCATGTCTTCACCTGCTCAAACCTGGAGACGCTTCAGGAGAGCCAAACGCATGCCTCAGGAGACATCGGACACGAGGTCACGAGGCGCGCAGCAAGTGGCAGCGGGCACCTCTGTATTTCGTTTCAGTCTGAACATCTTAACTCGGACTTGTCGTAATATGTTGTAATCAGTAGCGCAAGAGGTCTGAGTGAGGCTCGAGTGAGGGACGGCAGCGGCCAGAACAAAGAGTGCAGGTCGGCGGGCCATGATAATCAGGGGATATAAGGCCTTGGCTCATGGGTATTTGCCCAGCAATTCACAGGAATTCAACAAACATGGCCGAGTGCCAAGTTGAAACTGAGCTGGCTGCTGCGGGTTTCAACCAGTTTTCAGTTCTTGGGCAAGAAACAGCAACTATCGAGCAGAATGAGTCTCAGCAAACGCGACATGGTTCTTGGGAGTATTTACTGGTATGCAAATAGCGCATTGTTGCATATGCTGCACCTGGACACGGAGAACAACGCAAAAAAAGTGATTGATACAATTTATGTCCTTCACGCGCAAAGCGGTAGGAACTAAAAATACGTGCAAGCAATTTTCCACCGCAGCCCTCTGCACATTCTCAAACCAAAGGCTGTAGTGCTAAATGGCCTCGTGCGTTTTTCCTCTGTAGAAGCACCAGCACGATATAAAATTTAAATTCAATTTCTATACAATCTAAGGAACATTACGGAACTAAAATCAGCTACAGCACCAAGCAGCTGAGAATCTAAAATGATCTAACACAGATTTCTTGTGAATCTATGTGAATCTCATGAACTCCTGCAGTCCTCTTTCAAACCATGCTTGCACACAGTCTAGCATCCAAGACAGCTCCTCCAGACTCGCCCACGCATCTGGGAGTTTCGAAAGGAAGATATAGGAAGATCACTGGTCCCCGTCGGTTGATGATGATGATGATGATGATGATCCGTTGATCATTTTGGCTCCAAGATCTTGGTGACTTGGATCTTCCTCGTCGGCCTCGCTATCTACTCCTCCCATGTTCTTGTGAACGATGCCAAGCAAACTACACAAGCCACATGCGGCTGCCACCAGAAAAAGACTAAAAAGCGTATACCATGGCACACCACCCTTGTTGTCACAAAGATCCTCTGCTGAGGTCCCGTGGCAGCTATCTGTGGGCACCTTTGACTTGTCCAAGAAGACTGAAGGTTCAGTAGGGGCAAATCGGAAGGTTTCGAGAGTTCGGTAAGCTCGTTTGGATACCACAGCACCTTGAGGCAAGTAGAACTCAGGTGTTGGGTTTTGGTAAAAGCCGCAGAGCTCAGCTCGGTTTCGAAAAGTTTTCCAAGCCTCTTCCGCCAAGAGTGCAGCATTGCATGTGCCGCTTTTCAAGCCCGTCAAAACCTCTTCCCAGGTATCCAATCCCAGCAAGAAGTTGTCCTTTCTATCAAAGTTCAAAAAGTCTTTGAGCGCTGAGTTGGTGCATAAGGTGATGTTTCTGTTAACAAAAGGATCAAAAGGTCCTAAAGGTCCGGGTCCCTGTGCTATTTCCCATGCAGCCTGCAAGCTTGGAAACTCGCCTTTCACCTCTTTTGCTGAGACCAACTTTGAAGTGATGTTGGCACCATAGAGTGTTGTGCTCAACAAAATGAAGAAGCCGAGGCCCAAACGTAGCATGTGCGATGAGCGAGAATTCCTTGGTCTTTGCGAGAGCCTCCAGGGGCTGGTTTTCGACTTCAAGACAAAAGCCTCAAACACGCCAATAAAGGCATCAGCGACTTTGCGGGCAATTGACCAGAAGCAATTGCGGCACTTGTCCAAATTGTCCTTGTCCATGGCATTCCTTTTAAGACAAAAAGCCTCAAACACGCCAATAAAGGCATCAGCGACTTTGCGGGTGATTGACCAGAAGCAATTGCTATCGGTGTCGACCTGTCCGGTCCCTTCGCCGAGCGTGTCAAGGCATTTCATGGCGACAATGAAAAAGAAGACGACTCCCAGAAAGAAAAGCCAGGCTCTTGGACTGAAGACAAGAAACCACCACACCCAGAATTTTTTGGAGCCCAAGTCTTCTGACACCAAGAAATCACACTTGCTCCTGGATACCATGAAGACTGGAGAGGTGTACAGCTCAATCACGAAGGTCATTGCTTGCCTTCGACGAGTCAAGCTGAATGCCCCAGAGCACAAGTCCACATAACCCATTCCTGTTGCGAAGGCACACAGATCAAAATTGTTTGAAGGCTGCCCAGCCCATTGCTTTGGAAATCTTGCCTTGTACTCTTCAAAAGCCTTCTTGATGTCGAAGTCAATGAAATATTGGTCGATGCCATTCTCACCGCCTTTGATGACTGTATGGTCAACTTGAACTTGGGACCGGTTGAGCTCGTCCAGTGCCGTTGTCCAAAACTCTGCTATCCGACCTTTGCACTTCTGATTCTGCGGGTATTTCTGGTACTGGTTGTGGCACTCGGTGTTTCCCAAGTAGCCTCGAACCAAACTATTCTCTGGGTGGAAGACGCGGAGAGAATCGCCCTGCAGGAATGCGGCCATCGACTTTTTGAAGTAATCGTCACTTGCCTGTCGCAAATTCCCGCAGGTTGCATAAGAATAGGGCTGCCCCAATACACCCCAGTCCCAATTCAAATGGCAATTCTCTCGGTTGACATAGCACCACGTCGTGTTGCACCAAGGTGATTCAAGAGATGGACCGCATTTGAGCTGTGCTGCAGCACCGCTCTGGTACAAATGAACTGCAAAGCCTTCATCGATTTTGTGTGTTTTACAGCCAATACCAAAGCGAGAATGATGCGATCCGTTGAACTCCAATTTTGCCTTGACAAACTCTGAGTGCTCTTCTATGCATGGGCACTTACTGCTGCCCTTGTGTGAGGATCCAAGAGCCCCACGAAGTGCCAGCAAGGGTGCCAGAGTCGCAAAAGCCACGAAGAATCTCATGGCTTGAGCTTCTATACTAAATAATATAAGCCATTCATTTTGCGGATTCGAGAAATTTCGAGAATTTTGATCCATATATATATATCCATATTCAATGAGGAATCCAAGTGACAAAGGGGTTCCTTTTTGCAACGTTGCCGGGGTGTCCAGCGCACGCGGAAAACCAGGTGAGCGATACCGGTTGGTTGGTCAGTACAATTTCAACAGTTTCAACCCAACAAAAAAAATACAAAATAGTGGAGATAAAAAAGTGTGAAAAGTATCTTGCGGTATTTTCAAAAGGATTGGAAAGTATCTTGAAGATTCGTGAAGGTTGAACCCAACATTTGAATAGGCTCAACTTCCAACAATGCAACCAGCGTACACAAGTCGCCATAGTAGCTCCCCTGGCCACCAGATTGAAAAGATGTCGAACTGCAATCTGGATTGCCCGCAGTTCGTAAGAACTGAGGCTTCAAATGTCTGACCTGGTCGTTTTTAATGCTGTGATCACGCCGTCCTGCCACAGCGTCCCGGGACAAGGTCTGTGTCGGCCGCGGTGAGTCGGCCGGCGGGGTGGGCGTGTCGGCCGCGGCTGGGTGTGCGAGTCGGCCGGCGCCAAGTGCCGTGTCGCGCCAAGTGCCGTGTCGGCCGGCGCCAAGTGCCGTGGCGGTCGTCGGCCGCGGAGGGGCTGTGTCGGACGGCGGCACTTGAGTCGGCCGCGGGGCTTCTGTGTCGGACCGCGGGGCGGCTCGCGCAGGGCTGCCACTTAAAGATGGAAAAAGATCCCAGCGCTGACTTAGCAAAGTAAGGTCTGTGTGTCGAAACTGGCATGTCTGTGTCGGCCGCAGGGCTTCTGTGTCGGCCGCGGAGGGGCTGTGTCGACGCCTGAGTCGGCCGCCGGGCTCCTGTGTCGGACGGCGGCGCTTGAGTGGGCCGCGGGGCTCCTGTGTCGGACGGCGGGCTGCAGGGCTTCCGCAGGGTATAGGAAAAAAGGCCCCAGCGCTAACTTAGCAAACTAAGGTCTGTGTGTCGAAACTGGCATGTCTGTGTCGGCCGCGGGGCTTCTGTGTCGGCCGCGGAGGGGCTGTGTCGGACGGCGGCGCCTGAGTCGGCCGCGGGGCTTCTGTGTCGGACGGCGGGGCGGCGCGTGCAGGGCTTCAACAAAGAAAGAAAAAAAAAGATCCCAGCGCTAACTTAGCAAACTAAGGTCTGTGTGTCGAAACTGGCATGTCTGTGTCGGCCGCGGGGCTTCTGTGTCGGCCGCCAAGGGGCTGTGTCGGACGGCGGCGCCTGAGTCCCAACTATCTTGCAACGTCACAACATCTTCTAAATGTGCTAGACGAGTTACAAGAGAAAATTCGGAGCATAGCGTCAAGACCGGTTGAAAAAAGTGACTGGAAAAAGAGCAGAGCAGAACATCAAGAGCGTGTCACAAGCTGCATGTGCCTGTGTCGGACAAAAGTTTC